ACAGTTTGTCACAGCCCCTCATTTGTTGTCCTCTTCTCCCTCTCTGCCTACGGTTTACCGAGCAGTTCTATTTGACGATATATATATATATATATGACTATTCTGTTAACTCTATTATTCGGTCAGGGATGGTAACGATAGAATCAATGGGCTCGAGACTATGCCACGGACACCGAAAGCCCTAGTACTGTACCTTAGGACTGACGGGCTCGCAACGGGCGGCACGCAATAGGGCGCCGGATCAGGCGCACGCTGCAGGTCCGCTCCGTCGGTACTCAGACTGAGGCTTCGGACATGGGTATGGGACCTTGCTCCAGGTCCGGTTGCAGCATCGCTGCCCCGGTCACCATTGTCTAAATAGGTTGACATTTCTGTTCTACTTCTTTTATTACACTGTCTTGTTCCCAGTCACGTTACTGAGCTAACTTAGCGGTGGTTTTGCAGGTTGCAGGAACCCGAAAATAGCCCTCCTGCGGGTGACAGACGTGGGGTGGACATAGGGTTAGATCCGCTGGCCGGCAGACTCCTTCTGCCGGTCGGCAACGTGGAGCATCTGGAAGGAGAGGGGGGAGCTATCTGAAGTCCCCTGGACGAAGTATTGGGTCACGATCACCATGCCAACCCGCCGGGAGTAGAGCACGCATGCTTTGCTGCTTTGTCCTTTGTCTGCCTGTTGTGCTGATAAATGGGTGATGAGGGGCAGGCCAGCCCTACAGGGGAGATGAGTACCGGGCGTCTATAAATAAGCACCGACGGGGTACCTTCCATTGGCTGTGATCGTCGTCCTGTTTGCGACGTTAAAGAATTTCTGAGGACTTCGGGGGCCGTCCTAAAACACCTCCTGATCAGCCAATCAGTCGGTGTAAGGCTCGCTGCATGCGAGGATAAAAATAATGCAGGGCTGGCCAGCTCAGGATACACTCGGGGCACAGGGGTGGGCCGTGTGCACACCTTTAGACACACACGGTATCCGGATTGCTCAGGAACGCTGACGTCAAGTGACATTCAGGAAGAACTGAGGAAGGGGTAGATTCCAGGTAATAAGTTCGGGCAAATTCCATTTTGCAAACAGACCCAACAAATGATTCTATTTCTATTTTGATTAGTTAGATGTACAAACCATTAACATCCGACAGACAACATAGGTAGAAACAGTTTCCTCTCATTTGCTTCTCTGTTTGCGGACTAGTCAAAGTAAAATAGTTTCATTTGGAAGAATTTTGACTACCTGTTGGACCCGAATGTATAGTCTCTGATATAGCCACCAATTGTTTATTTAATCATTTTAAATTGGTTTATACATTACGCTGCGGTAGGCATCGTGAGTGACCTAGTGCAGATTGTGTGTAGTTTTGTAGCTTATGAGCGACAGGGAGGAAACTAAAGAGGACGATTGGATTCTACAATCAATGAGGCGCAGAGAACGCAAACGGGTAACCGTTGCCTGTACCCGGTCGTACCCAACTGTAACCGCCAGGTTATGGGCGGGTATGGGTACCCCTTTTGGAGGGGGAGTTGGGTATGGGCAGGCACAAGCAAAACGTGGTGGTTGTTAGGACGGACACAATGTCCCTTTTTGGAGATCAAGGGTGGATAGGGGCAGGTAGGGGTAGGGGTAAGAGAGAAAAAAACGGGTATGGCAGCCAAAAAAAAATGGACGGGTATGGGAAAGTACGGGTGGCCAAAAAAAAAAAAGGGTGGGTACGGGCGGGTAGAGGTTCCCATCGGATAACCGTGGTATACCCGATGTGAGTCTTGTAGCTTCGCAGGCTTTGTATTTTTGCTCAAGCGTAACACCTTTCTCATATTCCAAATTTCTCGCTTTCCCATGAAGCAAACGTTTTTTTTCTCGCAAGGGTGAATTTTATATCTCTTCACTTTTTTATTTTTTGTTTTCCAAAATTTCAGACTATTTTCATATATGTGTAACCCTGTGTATGTAATATTTATGTGTGTGTGTGTGTGTGTGTGTGTGTGTGTGTGTGTGTGTGTGTGTGTGTGTGTGTGTGAGTTTATGTGTGTGCGGCAGGCCGAGGTTTGTTGCATTTGCTGATGCTATACAGGTTGCATAGGTTGCTGTGCACCAGATGCATCCATAGCAGCATCAGAGTGATTAGATGTAACAACTGTTGTTGTTGCATCAGTACCTGCAACAACTGCCACATCTAAAAAAAATAAAAAAAAATAATAATATTAATAATAATACACATGACCACGTCAATCCTGTGACGTCCAGGGGGTTGGGGACAGTTGGGGGCTGTTAAGGACAATCAGGGGCGGTTAGGGTGGKTACAAAAAAAAGAAAGTTAGATGCACTTAGGGATAGTTAGGGACAATTAGGGGCGGTTAGGGACAATTAGGGGCAGTTAGGGACGATAAGGGGCGGTTATAGGCGGTTAGGGGAGAGTGGGTGACGAGCACGGGTGGTTGCGGGTGGGTGCACACAATTACGGGTAGGTACGTGTGAGTACAAATAACGAAACTTGGGTAGGGTAGGGTAGGGTATGGGTGGTTAACAAACGGTTTGGGTTCAGGTGGCCATGGGTGGTCTTGAAAAAGAATTGTTAATGGGTAGGTATGACCAGCTACATGCCAAAGAGGTTCAGGTAGGGTAGGTCTTGGTATACTTTGTTTTGGGGGGGGCAGGTGGAGATGGGTAAAGGTCTGCTAGGCCAGGTATACAGTGGGTATGGGTGGTTGGTTTTCAAAGAGGGTGTGGTTAGCTCAGGTACAAGTATTCCTAAGAATCCCAATTGTGAACTCGCCGAGGCGCCCAATAACCCACTTGGCATTAGGACCAGAGGGCGGCAGATTCTTGTTCCGCTAACACAGAGAGAGGCAGCAGCAGCAGCGAAGAGCTAGGGCCGCAGAGGCAAGCAGGGCATTAGCAAGCGAGTCCGCTACTTCATTACTCATGGCAACTGCCGTGCATCAAAGCTCTCGGGCTAGTAGTACAGGGACTGTAGGGTCAACGGTCGCACAGACCCAAAGCCAGTCCGCTAACGTCATGGCAAGCCAGCCGTTAGTATTGACCCCCGAAGAGGTCGCCATACAACAAGCAGATGCTCAGGAGGCACAACTACAGAAGGCTTTAGGAGAGATAAAGGCAGAAAAAAAAGAGGATGATTAGGAGAAGAGCCAGGATGTAG